TCCCTAGGGTCCTCCTGTAATCCCAACAATGCCCGGGTCCTCAAGAGACTTTTTTTTTTTTTTTTGAGAAACGCTAAGCCCTAATGCCTGATCTCTGACCCCTAAACCACATGCATTGTTATAACTCCTGTAAACGGCCCATACGGGCACCCGCTCTTTTGAGAAAACCCTCACCTTAGACTCCTAAAACCCGAAATTTCAACCTGACTCCGCGTAAGCCCTAAACGCCCAACGCAGCACTATCCAACACCTTTAACCCTAAACACTCTATTCTATTGATCTGCAACCTTAACATCTAGCTATAAGCTCTTACATGCAATTCGAAAAGGCCCTTAGATGTAGGAGTTTCTCAAACATGCCCATTGAACCCCAAGCCAAAGTAGAGACCTCCCGATATGTCTATATTCCCTAGGGTCTGCAACGGCCCAGAAGAAGCACCTGTACATACTCTTCAGTACCCCCAGTTGTCGTGTCGTTTTGCATCTTCTTTTCCATTTGATTCTCCATTCTCCCTATACCCCAGACCTTGACCCTGAAGCCTTAAACCCCGAACCCTATATACATATAACCTGCCTTGTCCCCCATATAAGGGATTCCCTGAACGTATATATCTCTATAACCCCTTGTATATCCCCTACGTAAATCCTAGGAACCCCTTTAAAGGATCCCTAAACCCATAAACCTTACACCCCATGAGATAGGGATTTCCCTTGGACTTAGCAACTGCAAAGGCCCGGAAGCTGGCCGCCAAGCAGGAGGCTTTGCGGCAGGCCGTGGGTAAATTTGGGCTTAAACGGGATATAGGGGTTATATGTGGAGATATAAGCGAATGTACATATATATATATGTGTATATATGTGTGTATATATATATATGTATATGTAGATGTCTACATATATATATATATGTTTAATCTAAGGTTGAAATCACACGCCCCTGTAATGGGCCCTTAACCCTGGGATCCATATATCCCTACTATATATCCTGTATGTACCCTTAAGGGTCCATCCCCTCGAAGGCCGAAGCGCCCATGTTTAGGGGCCGTATTTCTTCACCTAAGATATAAGGATATATCGAGGTCCAGAGGGTTTCTTGGGTTCATTGGGCAGGTTTAGGGGTTTAGGGTTTAAGGGTTAGGGCTTCAGGTTAGGGTTTTAGGGCTTTTTGGGGTTGTTTGGGTGGCAGTTGGGGGCCTTGGTTTAGGGGTTTTAAGGGGTTTGGGGTTTTAGGGTCGAGGCTTTAGAGTTTGGGGTTTCAGGGTTAGGTCTGGGTTTTCAGGGGTTTGATGTTGAGGAGTAGAGTTTAGAGCCCTAAACCCTAAACCTTATGTCGTCTTTTTGCCCTTGTCTTCTATTCAGACATGATTTTTGCGGTCCTTGAAGGGACGCCCCAGTGCACTTCTAGCCTGGTACCCGAGTATAGGTCTAAACAATTGAGGGTTCAGGGTTTGGGTTTGGGGCGGTTTAAGTTTAGGGTTTCTGGTTCGACTTCATCTCAGTGTTAAGAGTTTGGGGCTTAGGGTCTGCGGCTTAGGGTTCAGGACTTTGCATTCAGGGTTTGAGCTTAAGGGTTTGTAGGTCAGTCACATCAGGTATGAGGGGGCATATGGCGAGGGAGCTCTGATATTCACGGCTATGAATCTTGCTTAGTTGCTGAGTGGGGAACGATTTTTTTTGGGAGCGAGAGGTAGGGCAAGAAAGAGAGAGAGAGAGAGAGATGTAGATACACATATTCATAACCCTAAGGCTTTTGGCGGACGGGGAATTCCGCAACTAGGAGTTCCCTGACAACTTTTGCCAGCAAAAGGCCTTGCGAATCCTGTATGGCGTTAAGGGGCGGCTAACCGCACATCAACCCTTGTAGTAAGCATCCTGTGAACGCCAAAGTGTAGTCATAGGATAGGTTCCTCAATATGGGGGTTGGGTTCTTTTAACCTCCCGACCTTAACCTTTTTTTTCTAGTCCAAAACCTAAATCTTCAGACCTTCAACCCCAACCCCTACAGCTTAGCCTCCCACTCTGGACATGTGGGTTTTTGTCAAAATTATGGGCCTCTTTTTGAAATTGAGGGTCTAGGGTTTAGGATTGTTTGTAGATTATTTTTTCGGCGCCTAATGTTCAGGGGTACCAAAATGGGACCCTAATTTTGACAACTACCCATGTGCAGGAAAAGATCTTCAAGCAGTACGACAAGGCTACGCTGCCAGTGTTGGGATATCTTTCGGGGGGGGTCGGTTTAGGGTTGAGGATGTGGACTCACATTTTAAAGGGGGTTTTAGGGCGTATTTAGGGTATACATGCATAGATGTTTATAGGGATGGAGGCCTTATATAGTTTTTGGCATATGGGGGTTGTATGAATTGAGGTTAGATGTTGGGGGTTAGGGGTTGCAGGGATCTGGGATCAGGGTTTAAGGTTTAGGGTTTGGGGTTTCAGGGGTTAGGGCTCAGGGCTTAGGGATCAGGATGTAGGGCTTAGGCTTTGCAATCCAGGACTCGGGTTTACTGTGCTATATAGAGATACAGATGGGTGTGTGCATGCATTTATTTGATTAAAGATGGTTTAAGGATTTAACGGATGAAGGCTCTTGGTTTGTCAAGAATTAGGGAAGGGGTTGGGGAACCCTACCAAAGGGTTACAGTAGATCGGGATTTACATCAGGGCCAGCACAGGCTCACCCAAATTGCTGGCAGCCACAAATGAGGAAGTGCTACAAGCTTCTCAGCGAGGTGATGGCTGCGTTTTCGGAAATGGTAGGGGAGTCGTTCTCCCTGACACTCTCTGGAACTGGCCAGCGTTTTAACCATGGGGCCCACACCAAAAGCAGGAAGGCCGCCTGTGGTGCTTGTCCGACCACCACCAAAGCCAAAAGGCAGGCCTCGAATTCATCCCAGACCTGGTCCTGCCAAAGCAGTGGGCAAGCCCAAGCATGGGAAATATTGAGGACGCCGGCAGTGAACCTGCTTCCTCTCGCAGGTTCAGCAGGTTCACAAGAACGCCGTATGCCCGGGCCTTGGGTTGCCCTTGGGGTGCCACTCCATCGTTCATGTGCATCCTTGCCATCGAGTCGCAGCAAACCAAGACCGCCGTCAGCCTTCCTTTCACGGTCAATATCCTGAAGGGGTCATGTGGCTAGTCTAAGGCGGGGGGGGTGATAGGGAGCGTTCCTTCAGTGAACTATAATCCAAAGGAGTACCCCTTAGCGGATTTGGCGTCGGTGGTGTAAACCGCATAAAATGACATTCACCCTATGAAGTTCTACACCGAAAAGAGAAGATAATCGTACTTTACATTGGGAACTTCCTAAACCCTAAACCTTAAACCCCTAAACCCTAAACTCTCAAACCTAACCCCCCAAACCCTAAACCCTAAACCCTATCCTTTCCGTACCACTGCTTCAGGAGCTTTAACATCAGAAGTATAGAGCGCTCAAAAGGGTGCTCTCATGCTCTTAGCCCGAAACCCGAAGCCCTTCCTTAAACCCCAAATCCTTGAATTCACAACGCAACACCCCGAAACTCTGCCTAAACCTTAGACCTTGATCCCTAAATTAGGGTTTAGGGTTTAGGGTGTAATCCTGAACCCTAAACCCTCAGCCGCTGCTTGCGGCGCCTAGGATGGTGACGGGCTGCTCAATGAGGAGGAGATTCGGGTTCGGAGCCCTGATGGGTCTTGAGATAAGGATCTTTGTTGGGGGTTTTAGGGTTAGGGTTTAGGGGTCTTTTTTTTCCATGGCGTCCCTATAGCAAGGACTACACTACATTACAATTTAGCTTTTTGGGTCCCCTACTTATGCAAACTATCAAGGGTGTAGGGCTTGAGTTTAGGGCTTTGGGACAAGGGTTTTGGGTTAAGGGCTAGCCCGAAAAGGGGGATCTTAAGGCATGCAGATATGGTAGTTTCCTAAATAGGGGGACCCCAATATATACCCCAAAATACGATATCTAATCCTTATTACAGGGACAAGACCCTAAGATATTGTAATCCTTATAATGGGGACTCCCCAGACGGTACCCTTAATTTTGGGAAATCCCCAAATCCTAATCCCTAAACCCTATATAACCCCACTATAAAGCCCCTTCAAAGGTACCCCGAATTTTGGGAAAAGCCTAAACCCTAAACCCTAAACCCTGAATCCCTAAACCCTAAACCCTGAATCCCTAAACCCTAAACCCTAAACTCTCTAGGGGTCTTTGGGTGTGTAGCCTCTTAGAGCCTTAGAGATGAAGAACCAGACAGGAAAGGACGTGGAGGGTTCAGGGTTTAGGGCTTAGGGTTCAGGGTTTTAGGGTTTAGGGTTTAGGATTTAGGGTTTTAGGGTTTAGGATTTTGGGCTTATGCTTTAAGGTATAGGCTTTGGGGTTCAGGGCTTAGGGTGTAGCATTTTGGATTTAGGGTTTAAGGTATAGGATGTAGGGTTCGAGGTGCAGGGTTGAGGGTTCCGGGTTTTCGGGGTAAGGTTTAAGGTTAAGTCTCTGAATCCTATTCAGGTTCTCAGGTTTACGGAGGAGCCTTTTCGAGCCCCACCCTACCCTGAGACTTAACCCTAAATGATAAACCTGGAGCCCTAGACTCAACGTAACCCTAAACCCTAAACCCTAAGCCCCAAAACCTAAACCCTAAAACCCCAAACCCTAAACCCTAGCTAGAGCCGGGAATCTCTTAAGTATTAAGCGCAGTGCTGCCCCTTTGCATCGCCCCAAGTCATGCTGTCATCAGACGACGGGCCCTGAAATCCTAAGCCCTGAACCCAAACCCTCCTAAACCCTACCTGGACCCCAAAAGTATGTAGAATAACTGCCTCTTAACCTATTGTTACGGGTCTTGGGCTCTTATTTTACCTATTTTGGGGGTCTAGGTAAACCCTAAGATCGCATTAGTTTAGTTCTCCCTTGGCCAGAAAAGTCCGAAGAGGCCAAGACGGAAGAAGCTTCCCCTCCTGAAAAAACCGTGCCACCTAAGGAGGAGGTGGACTCCCCTACTTCTGTTTCAGAGGAGGACAAGGCTGAAGATGCCGTTGAAATCGTGGAGTGTGTCAGTGCGCCATGGCAGCGCAGGATCTTGAAGAAGGAAGCCGAATTGGTTCCTGAACCTCATTTTGCGGTTGGGGTCAAACTTGCAATCGTCCCCAGAGCGCGCATCATTACCTCCCGGACGTCCTCTCTGTCATCAGAAACCCTTTCTGCACAGCCATCCGCACCTACCATTTTGATAGCCGTTTGAGGCTCCAGGAACATGAACTTCAGGGGATAAGGTGACCTCAATATAGACCCCAATACTTCATAATCCTTGTTATGGGGACCCCTAAACCCTAAACTAAACCCTAAACCCCGACCCAAAAAGGTACCCCTAACACTGGGAAAGGCCCACATATTTGTCCTTCTGAGGGATCTGTGAAATGCTGGAGAACCTGAAGCCACTCCCTGAACCCTACACCCTAAACCCTACCTACTTGGAGGGTCAGGGGGACGTAGTAAGTAGGTTAATAACCCTTATAACCCATATAGTAACCCCAGTTATCCCCATTATTAACCTACTTACCAAGTCCCCTGACCCTCCAAGTAGAAAGCCAGCTACCCATAATTGTAGGCAACTTTGCAGTAATTTCCTATTGCTTTGGGTTAAGGTTACCCATTATCAATCTTATTATTTCTTATTCTTATTATGGGAAACTAGGCTTTCTAGGTAAACCCTAGCTTCCGAGGCCTATGTCGCTGGGGAGCACAAATTCGAGCTCGCAGAGGACCCCCCGCCCCCCCAAGAATATCGTTGAAATCTTCACCATGTAAGCTACAGTCTACAATCTGAAAAGGGGGGGTTATACAGGGTTTAGGGTCTAAACTGCTTAAAGGGAGTTATAGCTGAAAGTTATAGGGGTTCTTAAGGGAAAAACTAGGAGTTTAGACGATGGCTCATGTATCATAAGCCACAAGGGGAATATTCAATACACGGGGTCCTGGTTTTGATACCTCCATGCGGACCTATTCATAAACTTGTTTGGGGTCCCCTTCAAAGTGGCACCCAGCGAGTTCAGGGTTTTAGTGCTTAGGCTAGAAAGCCAGTAGCCCATAATCATAGGTTACTTTCCCCTAATTTCCTGCTAGTTTGGGTTAAAGTAATGCATTTTGGGGGTAGCTATGCTTGCTGGGTAGGCCATAAACGCTAAACCCAGCAAGTCCAGGATTTTAGTGCTTAGGCTAGAAAGCCAGTAGCCCATAATCATAAGCTATTTTCCCCTAATTTCCCACTAGTTTGGGTTAAAGTAAGCCATTTTGGGGCTAAGTATGCTTTCTGGATTTTAGTGCTTAGGCTCTTGGCCAGCTGCAGGTCTTCAGAGGCGGGGTCTTTGCTGGCGAGAGCTTCCTTCCCAGTCAAGGCTCCTGGCCACGATCCCCAAGCCTTTAAAACCTACAGGTTTAGGGGTTTAGGGTTTATGGCCCCACTAAAGGTTTAGGGTTTAGGGCCCCAAAAATGTGTAGAATAATGGCCTCTTGGGCTATTTTCAATGTTTTTGGGCCATTGTTTTACCTAATTTTGGGGTTTAGGTATAAATTATACCTTAGGAGGACCCCCCGACCATGCAACAGTGGTGTAATAGGAATATACGAAGACCCGAATATAATCATTGTTATCCCTTATAGTCACTATTACAGGGTCCTAGCTAAGTTATACCCTAAACCCCAAAACTTGTTCACCCTGAACTATGCCCCAAAGGCCTCAAAAAGATCCTGTCTGAACAGGCTCCCTCCAAAACCTAAATCCTTAGCCCTAAACCCTAAACCCCTCAACCCTAAACCCTAAACCCTAACCCCTTAACCCTAAACCCTAAACCGTGTGCACATCCCATACCTCGCCTTCGTAATGCCCACGGCGCCCTGTTATAGACCCCTACAAGGAGGGGCCCCCTAGTTACATAACTGATATTAGAAGTCCTATAACTAGAACTTATGGAACTTATAACCATAGTTATCCTAACATATAGCCCAACTTATATCTAGGGGCCCTTCCCTGTAAGGGTCCAAGGACCCAAATAGTAGCTCAGGGCTTAGGGTTTTGCAGAAAACACACCCTTCTTGTCATGT